ATGGATAATCCAGAGAAAGGAAAAAGCTTTACGAGAGTAGTTCAAGGCTCCGAGAGACGTTGACGTGGTTATTGTAAGAAGACTAGTCCCCGGATAGAGCAGTACGTTACACAACGTCTCTCGCTACTGGATCAACATTATATTACCCCAACGTTCCTAAAAATTGAAGAATTCTTCAGAAATTACCAATAATTTTGGAAACTTGAGAAAGGAACGACTCGAGTGAACGCTTCGCGTTGTAAAATCGGTTGCTTTTTTCCCACGAAGCTACAATAAATAAAAATAATCTATCGTTAAAAATTGATCCGATAATTTTGAACCGTGATTGTACAATCTGCGACAATGCTACGAAACGTCGCATAAAATCATGCCGATTCGTGTAATGAAAAATAAATGGCGCATCCTGTGTCTACATACAGTGTTATCGTTTACACCATGACAAAGTTGTTCGTGTGAATTGTAATTTATAGCTAGACAAATTAGTACAATAAAACTCTAATCGCAAAGAAACTACCGATAAAAATAGATCCTTAAGTATCCAACGGTGTATGATACATAAAAGAAAGAAATTCTCCCGTGTAAAGTACATTTCTATCGCTTCATATGAAATGTCTCGTACATTGTAGTATTGTCGCGGAGTGTAGCCGTCTATACATTTCGTCCTCCGATCGTTCGCAGTTCGCGACGTGGAGCACATCTTCCGCAGGAGGTAAATTTTTATTGCTGGCCACTGCGACAGAAACAAGACCGTCGTCGCGATCAAAAAGTTAGGGAAGGCTCGGATAATTCGTGCCGCTCGCGCATAGGCCGCTTCGCTGTTAGCGGCACGAATCTTTTGGACCCGACCGACTCGGCGTCAAATGATTCGTGCCGCTCGCACGCGAGCCCGTTACGGGCCGAGCGGCAAGAATCAATTGGCCGGGTGGACATCGACGATTCAGGCACCCTGTGCCCAGGACTAGATCAATTAAGACCACTGGCCGCGATGTTTATCCGTGCCGGTAATTGCTATAAGCTGCACCAACGGTCGCGGACTATGAGTTTTTGGTAAAAACGTTTCTTTCGAGGTTGGTCTTATCGAAAACAAGGAGCGACAGGAAGCAATCGATTTTAACGCAACATGTTACAATATTTATAATATTATTTAATTATTACGATATTATTTCGATGTACCGTTGTATTTGGGAGAATTTTTGGAATTGTTCTATCCAAGAATCATTTTGCATAACTTAAAAGTTATACAAATTATTAACCATTAACCCCTTAACGTGCACGCTCGAGTTAACTCGAGCGCGCTAAACTGGCCAAACTGTGCACACTCGAGGTAATTCGAGCGGCGTTGTACTTTGTGTTGCTATAATTTTTCACACTCGAATGCAATCGAGAATTGAAAATAACAATGTGAAAGCAAAAAAAGAACAATCGTTTTATTGATATTTATCATTTACATGGGATTGTAAGCTATAACATTTACTTATTCAAGTATAAAATATATCCTTTTTCCACTTATCACTTACGACTTATCTCTTCCTTGTGAGCCGCTTTCCGACAGCGTGTTCATATTCAGATTCTGATTCGCTCATTTTTCAATATATATTTTACTAAAATATAATGTAAAATAAAATATAATAATAATAATAATAATAATAATAATAACAGTAATAATAATAATAGTAATATCCTGAAAATTAGAAATCATACCAATTGTATAAATATTGAATATTTTTGTATTTTTGTCATTTTCTTGCCAAGACAACGTTCTAAATTGTGTTTTTTTACAT